GGAGCGGCGCCCCTCCTCTCCACGCCGCCCAAGCGGACGCGAGAACTCGGAGCGACCGCGTCAGCTGCGTGGTCGGCAACGGGTCCTGCCTGACGCCGCATTAGACGCTGAAGGGATTGTCTGTTGTCCGGGAGAGGGTGGGCGCTGTGTGATTCGTGGACCAAATACTTTCGCGGGCGATGCATTTCTGCTTATTGTCCCACATTAACCTAACCGTCTTGGGGGACTCCACGTTTTGCCACGAGAGAAATCCCAAATCGAAGGAGATAGGTAGTCCATTTGTTTGTGATATTTGTCACGGACATTATTGAGTTTCCCTCACTTCATTCACCCGTGCAACAAATATCTCACTGCACAGGTCCTGTGTTTGTGGGAGCCGTGGCATCGGGCGCTGGTCTCTCCATTTCTGTATTCCTAGCAGAGTGGACCCTGGTTGAATGGAAGGTGGCACGAGTCTGAATGTTTTTTGTACTTTTGAGTTGCTACTGTAAGTATTCCTACCAACATACAATCATTGCCCTTACACACACAACTATGACATATAACTGGAAGATTAGCTGAGGAGTGGGAAATACTTTCTCTTTAGTCTCTAATTTGAAAAGGAAAACAGTAGTGTATGTTAAGCTCCATTAACTGGTGGCACAGTGACTTAAGCAAAGGACTGTTAACCACAAGGTCAGCATTTTAAACCCACCAGCTGCTTCACGTCAGAAACATGAGGCTGTCTCTTCCAGTAAAGAATTGGTCTTGGAAACCCCCAGGAGCAAGTAGCTCCATTCTGTCGTATAATATCCAGTAAAGAATTGGTCTTGGAAACCCCCAGGAGCAAGTAGCTCCATTCTGTCGTATAGTATCACTGAGTCGGAATCGGGAATGATGTGAGCTTGGGTTTTTGTTAGAACAAACGAGTCATAGAGGGTATGGGACTTGTTGGTTAAGTAGCTGAAAGGAGAGCTTGGTAGGCAAAGGCTGAACAATACAAAGACAATACAGTAGAGGGAGCATGGTGTGCACTGAACCAACCACCAGAGGGTGCAGGCCGGGGCCTAGGGAGAAGTGATTCAATCAATCCTGAGGATAAGCAAGCAAGTCACCATCACTGTTCCATTCTCCTTCGCTGAAGAGAGCCTCTTTCTATCCCCAATAGTTCTGCCATACGATGTCATCGACCTGGTGGTATTAACAGATCGATTCGATGGAGGAACTATTACGGATGGGACGATGCTCAGAAAGAGAACGAAGATCAGCTGGAAAACGTTAACCAACAACAGGAATAAAAGGATTTTTAATCAAAAGAATTTAAAATGTTGCCTTTTCAAAACTTTATGGTTGTATATGTTGAGAGGTACCTGGGAAAATGGGTGAGAAGCAAGTGCCCTAGGCACCATGGTCCTACTAAGACGTTTCATTTATATGAGCTGTCACAATACCACTCAGTATCAATGCTGTATCTGGGCCAAAGGAAACACCAAGCCCACTGCCATCCAGTTGATGCCGGCTCGGCAACCCTGTCGGACAGAGTACCATTGCCCCAGTGGGCTTCTGAGATGGTCTCTCCTGGGAGCAAACAGCCTCCCCTTCCAGCTCTCCTCAGGCCAGGCCACCAACGAAACACAGTCCTTGACATTATTCCAATTAGGTTCAAACATGCTAATCACCTTGGCTTTCACTCTTCAGGTAGCATTAAAGGAAAACACACACATTGTATGGGGAAATTTTCTTCATTTTTAATTTACAGCAGAAAGAATATAAAGCATTCAGAAAACATTTTCCATATTTTTAAGGGCAATTCAAAACATTTTGCATGGTTTCCAGCAGCTGAGTTCTTCAACAGATCCATTGATTCAATGATGCTTTACATGCACAATTACAAAAATAAAACTTACAAAAAAGAAGACATCTAGACTAGTTTTACATGCAAGTCTCAGGGACCCCCCATTGGGCGCCAACTACTGTGTGGAACTGCCATAAGCGACCGTGCAGCCAGAGAGGGGTTCGTGTTATTGTCTGTATTTCGTTCACACAGTACAGCTGATTTCAAATGGGTAACAAGAATAGCAATTAAATCTTCAGGAGACAGAATAAAGATTAGCTATTTTATAATGAAATCCTACTCCTGGCACTTGGGAATTCAGATTATCCAAGAAAGCTGTGCTTACCTATCGTCTTATATTCAAAATTAAGACTCACAACCAAGAAAAAGCGGTTAAAAATGCTTCATTTCAGTGGAAGTGCATTTTTACCTCACCTAGGAATCACAGTTGTACTGGTAGGTTACACAGGTAGGCTTTGAACCTATGCCCTGTCCCCTCCATTAGAACCCATCTAATTAACTCTAAAGTCTCTATCTTCCAGAATCTTATACCTTATCCAGCTAATAATGTTAACATGTGAAACGTTTAAAAAAATGTGAGGGTTAAAGCAAATCCACTGAGGCCTTTACTCTTGTCGAAGATCAGTTCGTTTGACCATAATAAATGGAATAAACCCAACTAAATTCGGTTTTGAGAGAGGATATTGTGAAAGAGCTGGCTTTATATTCTGCTCTCGTATGAATGCAATTGTAAATTGTTGTGTCCTTCAAGAGGTCAAATTGGGTAAAAGAATAGTTTGGGTTTTTTTGGGGGGGGGGCAGGGCAGACTGCAACAGCTGTAACATAACCCACACATTTAAAAACAAAATTGAGTCAGGTCAGTTTACAAATGTACAGGTGGCTACTAGTTGTGGGGCTGTCACTGTTGTCAAAGCTGATCACAAGCAGTAAGACATATACTGTACAGTAATTCGAGGTTGGCAGTGAAAGGAAGTAATTAAAAAACAAGTACAATTATAGAAAAGGCACCAAGAGCACTGACCCCAGTTTTTACCGCGATCTTTCTGTATCTACCTTCCTTCCGAAGACACCAGTTTAAAAGCTTTATTTGGGAACGTGTTGGCTTCACAACAAGCCTTGAGTTCTCAGTTGCAGCCAGAACCAAGGGAAACACACATATTCTCGCAACTGACCCGCAAGCCACCTGGGAATTTTAAACTGGCATCAGCAAATGCTACCACATTTGCCTCTCGTGTTCACATTTGTAGTTTAATTTTAAAAGCATCAGATTTCTTTGGCTCCTCATTATGTGGAAATAGTAATATATACCATGACATCCCTATATAACCAGTTTGCATCTTGCTCATTTTCCGTTAACTTTTGTGCAAGTTTCATTACGTTTTTCTGATTTCCAGCGGGAAAGATGAGAACGTGAGACGCTTTTCCACTTTTCAAACGGTTTCTTTCATCAGGGTTTAATCATTCTAAGTGTTCTTTGTGGGAGTGAGTGGATGGTGTTAAGCTATATACTGATTCATCTTCTTATGATTATCTGTTTAGCAAAAGTAACTTAATTTTCTTAAGCAATATTAGCATTCACATTACTTGGCACCATTGGCAAAGAAATTTTAAATAAAATAAAATAAACTCCTGGTAGCCAAAATTAAATGTAAACATATCCTTTTTTTTTTTAAGTAATGCTACTTTGCCTTTTTTCTAAGTCTAAATACAGTAGCTTTTTTTTTTTGCAGTTTAGTCATGCTTTAGCAAAATGTTCTTCTAAAGAACATTTAAAATAAAGTACTCTTATAGTGAAATAAAGTTTTTTGTTTGTTTCATTTTACAGACCATAGCCACTAATGCTTTGCTTTTGTTCATTTCTTTTTTTTTCTTGGTTTCATGCACATATCTCTTTAATATATACAATATATACAAACAATACATCCACATTTTTCTCGCTTCATTCAGACAAAACTATACAAATAATTTTATCTTGCCATGTTATTGACCTTTGTGAATAAAATATTTAGCAATTAATATAATCCCTTTCAAATATTTTCTCACTTTCCATTTCTACCTTCTCTATATACACAGAAACTGCTCAGTTTGATGAAAGATAGCCAAAAACATGGGATTTACTGGCTGGAATGCAGCACCACACCCATCTCTTTGAGGTGGCAGGTGTCCAGGCAAGGTTTATGATTCCTTAGAATCACTACCGTTTCCAAGGATACTAAAAAAATCTACATGCTTTACCAATTAGCTAAGTAATTCTCATTGCACGTGAAAGTAAGGCAAAAAATTAAAGTGCTGAACATGAGAAAAGGGACAAGGTGACTAAACTCGCAGGTTCCTGGAAGGTGGTGGGGACAAGAAAGGAAGTTTAAACTCCGCACGCTGTTTCAGCTTAGTTCTCGTGCATTACCCGTTTACCACACACCCCTCTGCAAATTTCCCCAAGACATCAAAAACCTGCAGATTTTCAAAGTTGCATTACCTGTGCTGTAGAGATTCAAACAAAACAAAACAGGAAACAAAAACCAACAAGAATAAGTAACAGTGAAGGAAATGAGAACACGCAGACTCAATAAAGATTTGTATGCTCTAAGCCCTCCACTGAGAATCGATCCCAAAGATTCAGCTTCTTGGAAATAACTGACAGGTGCAGGACAGCATCTGCTTGTTGTTGCTGCTGCTAGTGCATCCCCACCTTTTCTTATCTATATTTTTGGTATAAATGTTTGTACAGTTCCACACGATGTTTGAATACAGCCCTATGAGAAGGAAAACAGCCCCTCCTAAGAAAAGGAAGCTTCTTTCACATTCCTCCTGGTGTCTTGTTTTCCCATGATCCAACAGAAGATTAAGTTCCAAGATGTCTTGCTGATCAAATTAAAAGTTGTCCATGAAAGTGCAAATGCAATGACAAAAACATTACTGTTAAAATCCTGCAGCTGATCTCCCCAAAACTGCAGAGGGATTTTGTGTGTGCATGTGTGTGTTCATGGATTTGTGTATGTATGTGTGTGTTGTTAGAAATGAAAACAGTCTGAAAAGCAATGTCACATTGCTGAGGGATGCTGCTGTGTGTCTTCAAGTTCCTTGGCCTTTTTCAATTCTTTCACTCTGGAAAAGAAACAAAACAGAACACCAGGCGATAACTATGGAGTGAAACTGTGACCAAAGAAAGGAAAGGGGTACTACCACTCCCTCTGAAATGGAAAACCAAGACAAGCCTTTTTGAGGATGGATGGCAAAAGAAACTCCTGGTCAATTGGGGGTGGGGGGTGGGGAGGGAATATCTAAAGATGAGGACATGCCCTTCTTCAGGTGATTAAAAAAACAAATTACTAAAACTGCTCGTTATCAAGTGCTCTGAGAACAGGGGGGGGGGGGAATCAACCCAAGCCTACCAGTGTATTAAGTGTAATCATAACATGCTCATCAGAAAGCTACAAAAACTAAGTACCTCTGTACCTGCAGCACCACTAGTTCACTATCCCCAGACGATGC